TACTCATTTGCAGGTCACCTTTGAGCAAGAGGAAAGCGGTGTGGGAGATGATCTCACAGAACAAAGAAAGTCACTACAGAGCAGGAACTACTTTCCTGCCTGTGTTTTGCTCAAAGTGCTTTAAACCAAAAGGTCCACCTCCTCGGCAGATGCTGCAATGTTCTACCTGCAGCTCCCATGAGACTCCTCCAGAATGAAGACTGCTGTACAGAAGTTCTCTTGGTGCATTTAGCTTTTCAGTACAACAGAACCAGAATGCATTGGCACCTCTGATACCAGTGATTCTTCTTTTGCTTCGTATTGTCTTTATTAAGCATCACTGCTCAAATAAAGGAGAAGTACCATCTGTGTCAGCTGGGCAACACCCTGAAAGGGGATGTGTTAACCCAGAGTGACTGAGGCACTCGGAGCAGATGAACCTCAGAAGTTGTTAACTGAAAATAAATAATATTTATTTATTTATTTAAAATAAATAAAAAAGGTATATTGGAAAGGAGGCAGTAATTACATGAGAGAACGTGGAAACCTCTGAGGTTAAAACACGAAGAGAAGAAGGCAGGGGTGACTCCCAGCCTGCCTGTGAGAGGTGCAGAAGCTCCACGCAGCATCTGCTAACTAGGTCTAAATAGCTAACAGTGCAGGCATGCCCTTAGATCTCCGCTTATGAAAACCCTTAACAGTCTACCACACTCTGTTCAAAGAAAACTGGGGAAAGAAAAAGCATCCGATTCTGTGCCTTTGGAATAGCAGTCTGACTATGGATCAGTGCTGTTGCTTTCACTTGGAAAGCTTTCAGAGCCACAAACTGCAGCAGTAAAGGCCAAATCGCCCTCTCCGCAAGCATCAAAGTTAACACTGCACAATAAAACATCAGCTGTGATGTGGACTGATGTGGACTTGGCTCGGGTGTACACAGTGCAACTTACTGCACAGCTCTGGGACATCCACAGGTGAGGACTTCAGAGAGCCACGCAGCAGAACAGCCCACAGCTCACCTCTGACATGCTTCACCACCAGATCCACCATATAACAACAGCTCAACAAGTGCTGGCCAGATTCATGCTCCAAGATCTGTATCTCAAGGAGGAACTAAACTCTGACTAGAAACAGCCATCACAGTGCGTCTGTCAGCGCTGCTGAGAAGAAGTACTGATTTCACTGTTTGAATATGTTCTTGCTTAATCAAATCTTACTGATTTGATTAAGATTTCATTAATGGAAGGTGAACAAATGCAGGCATTCTGCACTGAGACCAAGCACACAACAGCATCAAGTACAGCGAACCTAAGCAGCGGTAGTAATTTATACAGGCCGAGTAAGCAGGCATATAATTGTTTTAAGTAAACTCTGACTTAAAGAAGAAACTACATTTGAATTGAATATGGATTGGAAGGAGGGGGGGGGAAGACAACATCTTTAAAGAAGATCCTCTGAGACATGTAACCGTAGAAAGGCTGGCAAATACAACATTGATTGGGAGTGAGGTAACCACAAACACCGCTGTCTCAAATGAAAAGGGATTCGAGGTCTGACCCAGAAAACAAGCATCGTAACCGCCGGGATAAAAATTTAATGATAAACACAAGATGCTCTGCATGCAGGCCAGATTGAATTATCTGATGTCAGCCAGTAAATGCAAGGCTCTCTGAGAAAGAAGAGCTGCTCGCAGCCACCTTCAACTCACAGCTCAGGTTGCACTTAATCAATCCTTGATATTCTGCCATCTTCTGGCTTGAGCTTTGGCAGCAGCATGAAGAAAATACAGGAGAGTGCAAGAAAACAGGCACATTTCTCTAAGGGAGAGCCAACCCTGTCTAGCTCATCTTTGCCTCTTTGCAAGAGATTATTAAAGAGATCCACTCTGGGACCAGTTCAGGCAAGCTGTGTCTCTATGGGTTACACTCACAGCCAGTGCTATACATCACTCTGTCCACAACCTGTACAAATTCCCTTTTTGAAAGATTAAAACAACTCTACAGTAACTAATATAAAGCTGCATCACTCTGCTTTCCTGCGGAGTTTGAAGCAGTATAACGAAGCATGAAAGATCAGGTCTATTACAGCGCAGGTTCAGATCAAATACCATTTTCCCAGGCCAGTTCCAAGGTCCAAAATACATATTTGTGCTGGAAAACCTTTCTCTCAACACTTCTCTCCTCTTGTTTTTGGTGTTTGTTTGTTTTTTTTTTTAATTTTTAGAACCATCTTCTGATCTCCCAAGATCCCGACTGCACCTCTGGAAAGCAGGGAGCAGCTGCTATGCAGTGCCACAGCTCCCAGTGACAAAGCAATGCCTGGCTGGCCTGGCCGTGCTCAGACACAGTGCTGCAGCTGCTCCCCGAAGTCAGGCACCACAAAACCTGCTCACAACAGAGTGGCCCTATTTTTCTCCAGGGCAGCAACCTGTCTAGAGAAAAAAAAAAAAAGGGTACATGATGCCACAAGCCACTGCTGACAAATCCACATAAAATGCAACACGCTGAATTAGCTGTAAGATCACCACCAATTTCTCCAGTGCTGCAAGGTCACACATCCCTTCAGCTTTATGCACATGGCAGATCTTGCTGTAATCTATGATTATTCACATGTAAAGCTAAGCACATAAGTGCGTGCAAAACTAGAGATATAATCATTAAATGTAACAGATAATTGATATTTATACTGAGAAGAAAATTGACTTTTGTTAACCTCAGCTATTAAATTACTTCTTCAATACTATAAGAACGCAACAGCGAGCTATTGATCACTAAATTCATTACACTTTTATGACAAATTTGAAAGCACAGTGCCATTAAGTACAATACTACAGTTGGAAGAGAAAGGGGTGGGTGATGTTTGGGTTTAAAAGACAACAAAAACCCTTCAGTCTGCTAAATTCTTACCAAATGTATGCAAAGAACAAAGTATTTCCCTGCACAACCAACTCACATCCTCACAGGTTTTAACCATGCCTGTTTTGTTTGTTCTTTACTACTGCAAATTTTTACCAAAGCAATGCAACTAACAGAAAGCAAATTGGAGAAGGGCGTGCTGGAGACCTGCCAAAAAAATATTTCATCATTCATTGACAGATGAACTGCAAACCTCAGTCCTGAAAAGTGCATTCTCTCAGGTTGTGAAAATCACAAGATGAGAGAAGTGCTGGGTAACAATGACCTGTATGTGAGTCTGAAGACATTTCAGGCATCAGATACTTCCAGCTTTCATAACAGCAGTCATATTTTCTTACAGTTGTCTCTCACCTACATTTGTGAATTTTGTGGGAATGTCAGTTCCCCATCTCCCTTCACTTTGCCAACAAAGGACAACTCACCAGCAGACTCAGGAGTACTGGGAACCAACACAAATGTTTTGTCTGAAACCACCTCAGCCTGACTTCTGCAATACAACAGGCTAATGTATGGACAATTGAGTTTAATTCTCAGGATTAATCTCCTTTGTTTATTAATCCTTTAGGAACTAAATTTATTCTGCCTACTTTCTATATACTGCCTGTTTGGATATAAATACATTGGAGAAAATGAAGAAAAAGAAGAGCTGGAGATTTTGGCAGCAGAGTGATGACAACTGGGGTTTCTGGCTCCGAAAAAAAGTAGAGGAGGTTTCATTAGAGACAGCAGAGCAGATACAGTAGAGCAGACCCACAGCCAAGGCCAGGCAGCACAGTGCCCAGGCTGAAGGGCACAAAGGATGGTCTCTGCAGAGCTGGGTCCCAGCTGCAGCCTCAGCACTTGGGGACCTGTGAGGGTCTTACCAAAGCCTCTGTAGCCAAGGGAAGCCTCAACATCAGGCAGGAGCCAAGGCGAGACCTGCTGTACAGCTGCAGTTTCTCAAGCCTCTTCCCACAGCCACTGTCTGGGTTAACCACTGTGTGGCACTGCCCCTCCAGAGGTCACAGAACACACGTGTCTTTGGCAGACACTTTTTCATTGCATGGAAATAAAGAGTCAGACAACAGAGAAGCAAAAAACAGGAAAGAAGACCTTCAAGTGAAGTCGCATGGCAAGTGGGAAAGCATCTAATAAACAGCAGAAACAACGGTGGTTCTAATAAAGCTTAAAATTCTCTTTTCATTCCTGCTGTCTTCTAGGTTGCATATCAGCTCCTAGATGCCCAACAGAATTCAGAAGGGTTTACAAGGTATATGGGAGTTACCTACAGATGATGTATTTCAAGTCACCTTCCCTGTAACTGATGAGTGAATTTTACAGTACTTTACAGGCAGTTTTCCTTTCATTTCACAATGCACAATCATGCCACTAATGCGGAGTGGTGTCATAAAATACAGAACTCTGGTAGGTTGAAGGGCAGTGTCCTCTGCCCTGTGATGTTTTCATTTCTACTTACTAGTGTGACCTCTTCTGCAGGACTAATAATTACTGAATGCAAGCATAATACAGCAAAACTTTACTTCAACTGATGCGAGGCATGGCAATCTCTGCCAAGAGTTTGGGATGGTTTTAAGACAGTGTTTTGAAAGAATAAGAGAAGTGAATAACTAACACAAAAGTTGTGACAAAGTTTAGCACTGTGAAAAAAAGGAAGTTGAATTTCTCCATGTTTGTTTTTCCTCCATACTGTCTCTTACAAAATAGCAGAGAACAGTAACAAGCCTAAATGTATTTTGTTCCAAGGCACACCTATCTTTGTGATCAAAACAATTTAATAGAAAAAAAGTTATTACTCTTTTCCCAAGCATTTCCCAATATGCATCTGCCTCATTTTGAGTATTTCTGCAGCAAAGTAATGGATACAATTCACTGGAAAGTAAAGGCTTTACAAGCACTATACTTACCTAAGATAGCATTACAACAAAAACTTGTGCTGCTGAAGCGATTATAGATGCCTGTAATTATTGCTTACCATCGGGCCAAAGGGATAAAAAATAAAAAAATCACCCTTCTTGTCTGAAACTGGTACTTCTTTTGAATTTGTACAAGAAGCAGCACAAGACTTCAAACAGTGAAGAGCAAACGAGCACTGCTCAATGTCATACTCACCCAGCAATAACAACTCCATCACAAGAATGTACATCACACAGGATTTTTCCCAGCTCGTACTGCAGCTGACTCACAGCACCACTGCGGTTCTGCACAGGAAGACAAGACTTGCTATTAGTATTGCAGTTCATTCGTCTACCAAGTTTGTTTGCTTCCACATAGGACAGCCTTGAGCTTTCCTGTTGCTGCTGACAAGTTGCTGTGCAGCTGAGACAGAAGACCCATGTATTTCATGCTTCCTTCCTGGAACTTTTTACAGACAGAAAAAGAACAAGAAAGAAGTCATCATTCACCACCATCGTTTGTAATCATTAAGCAGAGAAACGTAACCATGACATCAAAGAAATGATACCTTTCTTTTTGCCAGAATATGTAATGAACAGAGAAGAAGCCTTCATCTTACAGGTTGACTGTCAATACCAAAGGATGGATGAAGTAAAAACATCTTTCACCCAAGTCACGGGAACAGAGCTGCAAACAGAGACCCATTCCCAAAAGCAACTGACCGTCAAGAAAATAAGAAGTCTTACAGCTGGGGCAAAGTCTCATAAATCCCTCAGCAGCTTTCCTCTTTTAACTAGCCAAAAGAAGCTGCAATACAGAAGACCAGCTTTTCACCGCCACTTGTTTGAACCAGGTTCCCATTTTTCTCCAGCATCTGGATCCCATTAGGCCAGTCTCTCCCTTTTACCTTCCAGTTGGTTCGCAGAGCACGCTCTTTGGCACGGCAGTCCTTCAGGGCCAGCTTCCAGCAGGGCTGATCAGAGATGCTCACACCCAACAGGTATCCTTCCTGTTGGCACAGCCGGTACCACAGCACTTCATCTTCTGCGAGCACTTTCCATGTTCTGCTGACCTGGAAACCAAACATACATATGTATCTCACATTGAATCATGTCAGATTTTGTATAAAACGGGGGAATGGCTGTTCACAAGGGTGGATGGTGATAGGACAAGGGAGAATGGTTTTAAATGGTTTTAAACTGAGACAGGAGAGGTTTAGGTTGGATATGAGGAGCAAGTTTTTCACCCAGAGGGTGGTGAGGCACTGGCACAGGTTGCCCAAGGAGGCTGTGGATGCCCCATCCCTGCAGGCATTCAAGGCCAGGCTGGATGTGGCTCTGGGCAGCCTGGGCTGCGGGTTGGTGACCTGCACACAGCAGGGGGTTGGAACTGATGAGCATTGTGCTCCTTTGCAACCCAGGCCATCCTCTGATTATTCTAAAACAACACATAACATTTCTGTTGATTCTTTTGAGAAAAACTCGGTCAAAATACTCAGATTCCCCTCTGCTAAAATTGCACAAAACACAGATACCAGCATTTGGTGGCCACATTGCTAACATCTGACATAAGCGCCACAGAAAATTTGGAAAGGAAAGGGAACAAGAAAACAATTAAGGCAGCATTGTAAGCTTTGAGCAAAAATATGAGTTTATTTTCACATTTGTTATTAAGAAAAGCTTGCAGATCACGCCACCACCCTACTGACAATGCCTGATTAGGCTGGGTGACATTAGTGATTTATAACCTATTGTATTACAGTATGCATAAATAGGAATGAATTATTAAGTTTTTCAAGTGGCCTCAAGTTGCTGTCCATTTCAGAGAAAGCTGCTTCATCATAACCAATTGTGGGCTGAGAATTAAAGATTCAAGAGGTGAGAGGCAACTTAAGTAGCATCTGTACTCTGTAACTCTTAATTTAAAAAAAAAAAAAACAAAAAAAACAAAACAAAACCAAATTTAACCAATGAAAACTGCTGCCAGTGAAAGCAGTAATCAATTGGACACTGCTTCCAGAAGACTGAAAAAAAAAAAAAAAGCTTCTTGGGCTGACATCATTTTTAGCTGTTTACAATTAAGTCCCCAGTGCCAAGATTACACCAAAAATCTAGGTCTTGCATTGATACAGAACCCCACAGCACCCATCACCCCATGCCTACTTGCCATTGCTTCCACGCCGACATAGCATAGCACAGAAGGAAGAAATTAACTGCATTACTCACCCCCTGTTTAATAAAATTAACCCCGTTTCTATTTTGTTATCAACACGCATGCTTTGCTCCAGCCCTGCTAGAAACAGCTGTTAAACACAAAGCACAGTCTCACAAAGTGGCGTAGGTTAGGAGGAACAGTGAAGCTGTGAGAACCCTGCAGCTGGTGCAGGGCTGCAAGAAGTCCCTGCATGCTCCACAGTGCCCCAGCAGCAGGTCGTGCTCAGAATGAGCAGCTCTGACTCAGGACAAGCCCTGAGAACACCGTGAAGCTGCCGGCTGGTTTATTTACACTGTGCTGCCTCCATTGGGCTTGTTGGAGTAAGACACACATCACAGTTGTGCTTTCAAAATCCTACATCCTGTCCCATTAGGAAGGAAGAATTGCATCACGTTTCATGACTGGTTTCCTTCAGGAAAGAAAGCAAAAAGAAGAGCAACCTGTAGGTATTTTAGGATCTGATACCTGCACACAAGAGCAGCATTCAAACAGGAATACCAAACCCAGCAGCTAGCATTCCACAACTCCACTCAGCCACCAAAACATTCAGAAGACACACAACCCCTCTCCACCACCAAAGAAAGCAACCTGGCTAGGGCAACGCTGCCTTACAAATTACCAAACAGCCCTGGGCACCTCTAGCACTGTGTGTCATCAAGTGCTACAAGAGCAAAAACTCATGTGTAACGCTCCTGTCGCTGCAGGGACACACTCAGGAAGCTCAAAGTAAAAAAAAATACATGTATTTTTTCAAACTGCTAGAGTTTCATGGGGAATTTGCTCTGAAGTTGATTTTAAAGCAGTATAAACCCACACTGCTCAAAGGAAAAACCGAGCAGCGTTTGGTGTCCCCACAAAGCAGCAGAGCACCCAGCAGAGCCACAAGGCAGCTTCTGTCTGTGCATCAACTCCAACAAGCCCAACTCTGCCCACTTTTGATTGCTTCAATTGGAAAAAAATAAAATTAATAAAAAGGAAAAACACCACCGGAGTTTGCCAAAGCAGACAGTGCTTGTGCAGACCTTTCTGGTTTCAAGGCCATAAAAGTATTCCATAAAGACAGTTAAAAAAAAGGAGAAGGGGAAGACAATCACATAAAATCTAGATGCCTGTTCAGCTTTCAGGAATAAACATTCAAAGGGAATAGAGATCCTATGCTATTATGATTTTTTTTTTTTTTTAAATCAAATTACATCGAATCCTGCTGCTTTACAGGCACGACTTTCCAACGGGTCCCCAACGCAGCCTTTTCTTAACGCACCAAAACTGGCATGGCAATCCCTTGTAAAAGCCCCACTGAGCGAGCCTCAGCTGCAAGAGCCCTCTAATAAAAGTATCTCGAGCATTTTGCTTTACAGCACCACTGTGAGCTGCCACATTAAAACCAGCCACTGGCTCCAAGTCAGCTTTATTGGAGCTGCCTGAATCGGGGTTTCAGGTGAGGCCCCAAAAGCCGCGGCATCACAGCTTTATCTGCACGCACCCACGCATTCTGTTTGTTGGAGAGAAGCTGTTGCACACAAAGCTCTTCTGAAATGACAGGCATAATTATTTCCAAATTTACACTCCATGCCAGCTCCTACAGTGATCAATAACAACATCTTATGGGGTTGTTTATAGATTTAGAGGCTGCAATTTAATTTTGTCATTAGTGTTCCTGTTATCGTTTTACTATGATTCTCAAGGCAACTTTGGTTTCCCCTGAGCTCTGCAGAAGAACAATTTTCTGTCTGGAGTTCAGCAAGGAATAATGCACTGAAGGACTTCAGAGGCTTTTGCTGACATAGGTTTTGCTGTTTGGTTTTGTGTCTGGGGATTTTTTTATTATTATTACTTGTTTTTGCAAAAGCCAGCAAAACAAAGTAACCAAAGAAATCCACCTCTTCCATTGAATCCTGAACTCTTCTAATCCTGTCTTAATCAACTGGTTTAAATCCTAATGAAGGTTTATTCATCCCTCCCCATCTGATAACTGCCTTTGCTTCGTTAGGTTTGTTTTCTTCTCTGGTCACACAAAGATAGACTCAAGGTTCATTTGCTGAATCCAGGGGCCTCATTTTGAAGTATCTGGACTTTCAATTCAATACAATGCTTAGCGCCAAGTAGTATTTCAGCCAAAGCCATTCAGATGCACATTTACCAGGTGGAAGCTGCTCATCTTTTCAATTCGCAGCCATAATGTTATTTTAAGTCTCCTCCTAAGCCCCGAGCTCAGGAAATCCTCATCCACCCCTTTCTCTGCTCTCTCTCCCCCAGCTGAGAGGACAGGGGGCGATTATTTGTACACCATCACGATAAAAAAGAATGAACATAAAATACCTAAGATTTTATTTTTCAGATTTCTGAACACTCGACAATTCCAGACACTTTAACAGCAAGCATCTGAAATTCTTGATCTGTGCAAGACAATCCATTCTTAAATTCCTAGAAACAGGCTCTTCTGTCCTAGATACATACACAATTGCTGTGTTAGTAAACATTTCCAAGCGTCTCACAGATGAGAACACCAGCAGTTCAAAGACAACTTCCCACTGATCTGTTCAGAAATAGAACTCTGCCCTAGTGTTGCTAAAATTCAATGCACGCTGTCTAGAAGTGTTTCCCACCACCAAATGTAATTTATGCAGCCTCTGGTGTTTACTAGAGAGCAGTAACACAACTGAAGAGCACAGAGCTTCACGCACCGGACACATCGCCTTGTCCTAAAGCTGACAGTTTGAGGCCAGACCCTAAGGCCACGAGCCCTGCAGAACCAGCCCCAAATAACACAAAGGGTTCTGATGTATTCCATGTGACATAGTGGCCCAGGTGATTGTTTTCCCTTTTTCCTCCACTGTAGAGCCAGAATGAAGGAAAACCTGTTCTCAGATTCTCATCTCAGCAGTCACAAGACTCACTCATTGCATGGATCCTCCTTCTAACAGCCAGACAAAAAATAAATCAATCAAAATGTTCTCCTAACTGTCCATAGGGCCAGTGAGAAGTTGGGAGGAAAAAGCACTGCAACGCTGCTGAGGCACTGAGCCCCAGACACCTTTCTCTGCTCGCTGAAAATAGGAGATATCAGTAGGGCCTGGTCTGCTGGACACCAGTGGGCATCACACGGGTCCTGCACACCCAGCACAGCTCAGGAACTGGTGACACCATGAACTGATGTGCTGCACATGGCTTCAGTGTTCCAAGTGTCATACAGATAGCTTGTGTTTTATGGTACTAATTCCAAAAATCAAAGAAAAGCTGCGGGAAAGAGGGGGAGGGGGAAATATCAGGGTGAAATTAAACTTCTCCAGAGCAGTCTGATGTGATTAAATCTCAAAGAGACTCTGCAGTCACGCTACTGTACTGTTAGTTGGTTCCCAATTTGGCTTAAAGAACTAAGCAAACAGGTTTTCTCCAAAGGCACTCGCATAGTTCACAATGCCAATTCCACTGGCTGGCCCAATTTCACTAAAGTCCCAAGGCGCCTTAATAAAAAAAGCTTTCTAAGCTAACAACGTAAAGCAGCAGGGCTTTCCATTTAACAGAAGAGGGCTTTCCCCCGCCTCCCTTCACAAGGCAAAATCACCAAGAGAAAAATGAAAACGGCATTTATTTTTATTGCTCCTCTTTTTATTTAAACACGTCAAAAGAAGCCAGCTCTGCACTAAAAGCATTGGATACCCATCTTGTTCGGAGAGCCCTGTAAAGCCCTGGGCATGTGCTCAGCTACCTGTCAGCTGCCACAAAGGAGCATCTGACCCAGTCTTTGTAAGCAAATGAGAAACGTGGAAAATCTGCTGAGTGTTAAACACATCTTCTGAGAACAGATTCAAATTTAAAACAAATGTGAGAGAGAGAAACTGAGTGCAGCTCAACGCAGAGAAAAGGAGCAGCCCTGTAGCAGCCAGGCTTTTTGCTACACCACGAGGTAAACTGATCAGGCCAGAGAGAAACAAAAGAGAGACTAAACTAAAAGTAATCAACTCCCCAAATGCAATGCTGTTCCATTTTGTGGAACGTGGCCTTAACTGGTTGCATCTCCCTGTATCAAATGACTGAAACTCAGGCTGTTTGAAAGCTTCATTCTTCTAGACAGCACCAAGAATCATTCCATAGAATGTTTTTCTTTTGCACCAGCAGCCCCATGAGAGGAAGCACTTCTCTTCTAGCAGCTCCTGTTCCTACAAGTCATTTGCAAGTCAAAGATTTAAGCAATAAAGACCCATAACTGCTTAAAACTGTGACTTGCTCAGACTCTAGGTTCAAAGACTAATTTAATTTCTGTGCACATGTCATTCGGTTAATGATTGCATTAAGCTTGCCATCCACTACAAAGCTTTACCCTGTTGTACACATTAACGTGTCTTTATCTAACAAACTGTCCAGGGAGTATTTCCAGTGTCACAGAAAGAAGCATTCTGATTGGATTTTAAGCAGCAGCAAGACGTGTTTTGTACATAAGAGTTCAATGAACACCAGCCTGAAGCACTAAACAGCGATGATGGGAGAAGTTGGCAATTCACATTCACAACACTATTTTACAGGGTAATCAGCACTTGCTGATTTAAGTTTGCTTTGGAGACTCATTCAGAGAGGAGGTTCATCTTTTACTGCGCAAAGAAAGGAGACAGAGGCTCGAGAAGAGCAGATGAGTATCTAAGTACAGTTGGCTGTAAGTTAGTACGGCCACTTGGAGAGAGAGGCAGTTAGTGGTGACACGAGAACTACATCAGAGAACACACTGTGAAAGTGCTATTGCAGAGTAATGCCACAGAATGCTGTAAACCAGGAGAAGGGGGTAGGAAATCAGTATCACTTAAGAATTTAGCTTTGTGTGAAACTACTAAAGAGAAAAAGTTGCTACTCTACAATGCCTGTCAACTGAGAAGTGTTGGGGGAGAGCAGCTTTATTGCCATTCTTGAGTGCTGAGCTCTCAGTGTTGCAGCAACACTGTCACCTGCTTCTGACTACACTTGCTTGAATTGAAAGACCTTTGCAAGCATTTCTTTTAAATTATAAGGTCTTGGTTATGTGCAAGTCACAAATGTTTGGGTTAGCTATGCTTGACTGGAGGCTATTAATATTACTTTTCAATATGCAGTTTGGGAAGAATTTCCAGTAACTACAACCAGCTGAGCCACTAGGACTAACACACACATTCCCTGCATCACAGTGCCTTATTGCTGCTTGAGCACACGTGCTCATTTGATGTGGAAAGCAAACTGCCAGCACTGCTTACCTGAGCACACTTTCCCAGTTCAGCCTTTCCCAGATACTGAAATATTTTCAATGCCAGTTCATACGGCAGATGGACATCAAAGAAAGGAACCTCATTGATTTCATTCTGGAAAGACAAAGAAAATAATTTCTTAGGCTTCTTTATTGCATAGCCAAATAGTAGCAAAAGTTATGGGCAGGGCAAAGGTTGTAGGGGGCTGTAAGAACCCTCCCAACCCAACCATGCTGTGTTTCTACAATCTCCCCAGCAGTCTCCACATATGCCAGGCTGGGACTGTACTCTGACTCTTAGCACTTCTCTGGCCCAAAGAACTTCATTTTTCAGCAGGTCTCTTCTACACGAGCACCTTGGTCATTAAAACCTGGTCTCTGTGCAGCGCCAATAAAGTGGCAAAACAAACACCAGTTTTCCAGTTACACAGGAAAATTATTGTATAATACACTTAAAGGTTTTAATGCAAAGCGTACCACACGCTAGAGACAAGTGTGCAGACAGCACAAAGATGGGCACTGCTCCCATTGGGCTGTTTCAGCAGGACAGCAGCAGCCTCTAAGCACCAAACCCTGCCCATGTGCTGAGGCTGCTGGCAGCCTGCAGTGGCCCTCCTGCTGCATCCCTTCTCTCCTCTCCCAACAAGGCCCACAGGCACTGCTCCCCACTGTGGGTTTGCACAAACACTGTTTCCATGTGGCTTTAACTGATTCCATCTCCAAAGGGGACACTAAATAAATAAATGGATTCCAAGTGCATTGCCACGGCCACACACAGGCAGAGCCTGAGCTGGGCAGATGTGAACCAGCCTGGCTCTTGGAGCCACACAGCCCAAATGAAAGAGAGAAGCCACGAGCAGGGCTTAGCCCTGGGCTTATGGGCTTGGGCACAGCACCACTATGAGTACATTGCTTCCAAATTGGAGCTGACCCACGGCCAACTAGAACCCAGTCTGTCCATGTGTACCAAACATACAAGGCTGCCTACAGCCCTGCCAGCACAGGCACTGCGCAGCAAGGACAGCTCACCCAGGGAAAACTGCAAAAAGGACTACAGCAGATTTATAAACTAACCTACAGGAGAACGTGCAGCTCACACTATGAGCATCAGGAACACAATTCTTGTGCACTGTGAACATAAGAACTCAATTCTAATGGGATATTAAGAGTGCTAAGTGTTAACATCAGTGTTGGTGAGCAGCAGTGACCTGGCTGAGTGCTGGAGAAGCACAGCCCTGGGGCTGCTGCTCCCCTAGACAGGTTCCTAGGGGCCAATGGAGAGCTGATTCCTTGCAGGGATCAATCTATGTCTTGCAGGCAGAACTTCAATCTGCTCCTTTTTATTTATATATGTTTTTTAAAGTAAAAAGTAAACAGCCACAGTGCAGACAGTGAGAAAAACGGGTCTCCCCATAGTTGCAAATAAAAACTCCATTGCGTTTGAAGGATTTGCCACCACAACTTTTAATGGGCTCAGAACAGTACTTAAGGCTCCTTCCCTATTAACTCTTCTATGCAAAGAACTCACGCTTGTTTTCCTGCTATGCAGCAGCGTCACAACACGGAGGATCCGACAAACCTACTCTGGAGGGGCTTCAGTAAGGAGCAGAAAAGAAACCGAAATTCTTAAAGCAAAACGCCACAAAGCCGCTCTGCAGGAAGGAAAATCCAGCCGTAGGGCTACGGGGCACGCGCAGCCCGAGATCGCACACGTTCTGAAGCCCCCCCCCCGGGCCCCCAGCACAACAGGACAGGCCTCGCCCCGCAGCCCGCCCTACCAGGTCTCGGATGAGCTGTCCCAGCAGGTCGTCGGCCTCATCCCTCGCGGCCTCCTCGCGGGGCCGGGCGGGCGGAGGGCTGCTCGGGGCCGGGCTCTCGCCGTCCAGCAGGCCGCAGGCCAACGCCAGGCAGCCCGACCCGTCCCTCCCCGTCCCGCCGGGCCCCTCCGCCGCCTCCCACCTCCGCTTCTTGCCGCCCGCCGCCAGCTCCTCTCGCCATCGCCGGCGGAACAGCTCCAGCTCCGCCGAGCCCTCGGCCATGGCGGTGGGGCCGGCCCGGAAACTGCTCCCCGCGCCCGCAAGTTCCGCGCCGCGAAGGTTCCTACCCCGCTGCCACCGCGCGGGAACGAGGCGCTGAGTGCCGCCGCCATTTTGTGCCTGAGGGGAGAGCGCGAGGCGCGGGCGGTGCGCGGCGGCGGAGCGCCGGGGCGGCTGAGGCGGCGCCTGTGGCGATGGATGGGCCGTGTGTTGCCCGCCCTTCTCCCACCCGCCCCGCGATCTGTCCTTCATGCACTGCTGCTGCAGCACGGCCGGCTGAGAGAAGAGGAGAGAACGAACGTAGAGGGAAGGGGGGATGTTCACCTCAGTGCTCCCCGCTGCCCACAGACCGTGCCCAGCACTGAGCTGTCGGCACTGCTGCAGCCCCACAGGAGAGCAGCGGTAGCAGGCAGAGAAGCAGTGCAGGGATTCTTGTTCCTGTGGATTACCTCATTTTGGGATGGAACCGCTATCTTTAGACCCCTCCCCTCCATCAATAAATAAACACACACAAGTTTCCCTGTACAAACGCTGCTTGGATGGAGGGGGGGTGCCATCAGCTCGCCGGGGGTCTTTCGGGCCCCTTTGCAATGCCTGAGCATTGCGGGCTCCCTGCTGGCAGCGCACTGTGGCCTGTGGTCAGAATCACTAATGCTGCTGCTGATGAAATCCTCTCCAGCCCTTTGTAATCCCCAGCCGCCCCCTCCATCCTCGCTCTCAGTCACTCCCACTCCATCCCCAGCTCCCTGAACCCCTCCATCCCCGTGCTGTGACAGTTCCCCCCCCACACACAGTGCCCCATCCCACGCTGTCCCCTGTCACTCTAATTCCACACTGACCCCCACCTCACCATCCCCCCTCAGCCCACGCTGCCCCCCCCCAATCCCTCACCTCCCACCTAAACTGCCCCCCCCCTCACACCCTGCCCCTCTCACCCACATTTACCTCATCTCTGCACTCTCGCTAACTCTGTTCCCAGGTCTCAGATGTCTCTGTACACAAGCACTGTCCCTTTCCCCCCCCAACATGCACTCTGACCTCTGATCCCACACCACCCCTCTCTCCCACCCCAATTGGATCCTGTCCCACCAAAGCTTCCCTCACATCCCCCAGTCACCTGCCCCACCATCCGGACCCTCAGTTCTCAGTACAACCCCTAGACCGTCTCCTTGCCCAGCCTGCGTTCCCCCTCCCTCAGTTCCCACACTGCTTTCCCACCCCTTTCTCCCTCAAATTCCCGCAGCATCCCCCTCCCACACCCTCTCTGTCCCTCCTGTCCATCAAGTCCCACCGAAGCTGCCCCCCACCCACCTGCCCCACCAGTCCCTCACTTCTCACAGCACACCCCAAACTGTCCCTTCACCCCACCCTGTACCCCCGTCCATCAGTTCCCATTCAGCCTCCTATCCCCCCGTCCCACGCCCCGCAGCCCCCCCACTCCGTTATCCCCTATGCACTCTGCCCCACACCCCACTGTCCCCCCAGCCCCTCCATTCTCATATTACACCCCCACTCTGCCCCCCCCCAATTCCCACCCCGCCTTCTTTTCCCAACGTTCTGTCCCCCAATCCCCCCCCCGCACCACCCCACATCCCCCGCATCCCCACCCCGACATCCCCCCCCATCTCTCCGTCATCCCCGCTCCGTCCCCCCACTACCCTCCGTCCCCACACCTCCTCCACCCCCGCTCCCCTCCGCCGCCGAGCACCGCCCCGCGGGGGATGATGTAACCCCCCCGGCCCCCGCCCGCCGCCTCCCTCCCTCCCTCCCTCCCGCACACGCCGCGGCACTCGGCGGCGAGCGGCGGCTCAGCCATGTGCCCTTGCGCGCTGCGCGGCGGCCCCCCCGCGCCCTGCCCCTGCAGCCCCGGCCGCGCCGCCCGGCCCTCGGCCGCCGCCCGCCTGGTGGCCGCCCGCCTGCGCCGCGTGGCCGATGAGCTGGAGCAGCGCGCGGCGCGGGGCAAGGCGAGGGGCCGGGGCCCGAGTTGGGCCGGCCGCCGCCTGGCCGCCGCCGTGTGCCTGCTGTGCGCCCTCACGCCCGCGGTCGCGCTGGCCTGGCTGATCCGCAGGAGGAGCCTCTAGGCGAGACGGGCGCCGGCCGGAGCGGGGAGCAGGCGGGACGCGCAACAGGTCGGCACCGCGGCGGGACGGGCGGGCGGGGAGGGGCGGCGGATCGCGCTGTCCGCGGTACCCGGCGCGCTTGACAGCGGAGAGTCGGTGAGGGCAGCGATCTCCCGTCCTCTCTTCCCTAATTTCCCCTTCCCCGATTCCCCCTTTGCCCTTTCCCTAATTCCCTCTTTCTCCCTCCCCAAACTTTCCCGCTCCTGTCTCCTCCCCCCAGCCCCGTATCGCTCCAGCCCAAGGAACGTAGGACCCACTGCTCTCCCCCGCGTCCCGCACCAGCCGGTGCCATAGGACGTCACTCCGGAGGTGCAGCAGGGATCTCAGCCTGGCTGTTCCTGGCTCCGTGCATTGGGTCATGCTCTGCTCAAGGCGAGGGTCCCACAGCAGGGAAAAAAAAACATCCAGGTGCAGTTGGTGAAGGTTCACGGAACCTCCCCAGCACTGCGCAGACCGGCAGCAGGGCAGTGGGGGGCAGCTGCTCCCATAACGTTGCTGCTGCCCCAATAACATCCCTGAGCTGGCTGGGACAGCCCTATGCCTCTGCCCCAGCACCACCGGGCACAGGTGGGGAGCAGAGTGCAGGAGGAAGGTGTTTGTTACACAGACAGCGGGGACGTGCACTCGGCATCTCGGAGTGCAGGGCCTTGTGGGGTCATCTCAGGGATCTGTGTGCTCTGCTTTGGGACGGAGACATAGGAGCGGAGCTGTGAATCCTTTTTCAGGTGCTTTAAATTAAAAATGTGTTCAGGTTGGGTATTAGGAGATATTTTTTCTCCAAAAGAGTGGTGGTGCAGTGGCACCAGGTTGCCCAGGGAGCGCTGGGGTCACCATCTCTGGGGGTGTTCCAGGAAGGTGGAGAAGTGACACTGGGGGACATGGTCAGTGGGCACAGTGGGAGTGGGCTGGGGTTGGACTTGGGAATCTTATAGGTTTCCAACCTTAATGACCCCGTGATTCTATGAGAAGTGAATGCTTCCAGTGCCAAGCAGCTCGGGTAGGATTTAGCCAAGACCCTAAAATAAAGCAGATGAAAAATGCCACTAATGCTGCAGCTGACTTCTGACAGTGCCTGCCTGGGCTGCATGCAGCCACGGGCGGTCCTGCACAGGCAGGAGCGGGGCTGCTGGTGCTTGTGAGGTGTAACGGGGTGCGATTAAACACAGATGTTCAGTGTGGGGAAAAGCGTGTTTGTCTCGAGAGTTGAAAAGCAGGGGCTTCAGCAGGGTGTGTGTGCAGCACGGCTGGGCTCACCGCTGTCCTCCGCTCAGTCTGCCTGCGGCTCAGCGGGGTGCCTTGCAAAGATCTCTTTGGCAACAAACCCTGTGTTTTGTTTGAGTGAAGCAGAGCTTCCATCTGTAGGGGACCATCAGAGCAGGGGGGTGAGGCTTCAGGATAGCGCCCTCAAAGAGCTGGGCAGTGCTGCGGGGCCGGGCTTGGGTGCTGCCTTCCCTCCCCTCGCTTTGCCTGATGGCAGCAGTTGGAAGTGAAGCCAGCCGTGTGGTGTGCGTGAGCCTGTTTGTGCTCAAGAAAAGTTGGAATCCGCGGGGAAGTGCAGTGCTCTCCGTTATCTGGAATCCCAAGTGTGCTGCTCTCCTACAGCTCAGGGAATTCCCTTGCCTGGTGCGGAGCAGGGGTGGGTGGGAAGGAGCCCGAGGCTGTTGGATGTCAGGTTTCTGTGCAGGTTTGCATGCCGTTGGCTATGTGGATTTTTCTCCTGATCTCTTCTGTTGTCGGCCCTGCACAGCCCTCACCCCCACCGGCTGTGTGCACACCAGGCCCAGCAGAGCCCAGGTGCTTAATGTGGCTTTGAGGAAGACGAAGCAGAAAAGTGAAGTGCTACCCTCAGCACATCGTGCTGGAGGAGGACAGAGCAGCCAGGTGTGGGGCAGTAAGAGGGTGAAAAGTCTCTGTATGGCCCTGTGCATGGTGCAGCCCTGACTGCTGGCATTGTGTGGCTGAGCTGCACTGCAACTCCAGAGTGATAAACACGTCCTCTACCTCTCAGTTCCTGTGCTATTTCTGCCACTAATTTGTTTGTTCTTCTTGAGTAGCACTTTGCTCACATGATGAGATCAGCTGATTGAAATGTCTCAGAGCCAAGTGGTAGCAGAGTGCAGTTGGGTTAGGTGTGAACACCACAGGTATCTTTCTGCCATCCTCAGAGACGCTCCCGAGTGCCGATAACTTCATCCTCTAACAAGATGGGAAGCCTGGGCTCTGAGCACTCGTGGTCTTGCGTAGTACAGCTCCTAAGATGAGAGCAACTTGTATGGTCTTGGGAGCCGTCCCTTAGGGTTGGGAGCAGGGCTGGAAGCTGTTCCTCAGGGCTGGATGTGGCTGTGCAGCTCAGGACAGAGCCCTCTGTGCAGGGAACTTCTGCTCCCAGCCGCAGGTGATGGCGGAGGAGGGAGGATGGGGCCGTCTGCATGTGACCGATGTTTTGTCTCTGTAACCGTGCTTGGGATGTGGAGATGAAGGCTTTGTAAATGGCAGTTTGATAATCTATAATCTGACATCACCTTGAAATATCCAGCCAGGGCATGAAGTGTAGTTGTCAGTGCCAGTTTGGCATACAATGTCACTTGTATTTCGCTCTATTAGTTCAGAAGTGGCAGTGTATTAAAATCGAACCCTGCTCGTCCCTGCCAGCTCCAGCAGCCTGGTGCTGTGCCCGCCGTGCTGCCAGCAGTTCCCCCGCTGTTTGCTGCTAGGTTCATGCAGAGCCACTCTGTCCAAAGTCTCAATGCAGTTAATTATCTGTGTTAAAATGGGGTTGATAAGATTTCTGGAGATGTCACACAGAGCGGTGCAGGAGTGCAGAGAAGACAAAGGCCCAGAGGCAGTGCTGCTGACACGGGTGGGCTGAGGGGCTCAGCAGCACTGCGGCTCTGCAGGAGGACACATGTCTGCAGGGCTGTGGCACGGAGGCTCTCAATCCCCTCCTGAAAGGCAGGAGCCTGCTCTTGCTGCTGGCTGCACCCCACACACCGACCCTGCCAACCCCCAGCCCCAGTGTCAAAGTGTGCAAGGGAAACCTTCAGCATTAACTTCCACGATGAACAGGCAGCAGAGCTGTCAGAAATAAGCTTCTGTTCAGAAATGCATCTTTCCTCAGGCAAGGGTGGCAAGGTGGGCTGGTCCTGTTTGGGGAGGTTTGAGCCCCTGCGCACTTCTTTACCCATTCTTCCTACAGTGAGCTCTCCCATACACATCATCCTTCCCATTTCCTCTACTGTGGATCCACTCTTTTTCCATCTTATCCCTCCAGCCCCCTCCTAATAGTTTTTTTTTTGCCTTGCAAGGTACCCTTCTGTCTCCCACAGAGATGCTAATGAAGTGTGAGTGCACATGGATGCGGGCTGCTTGGGAATTTGACGGGCTCTTGCCTAGTCCTTGTTTTCTCATTAACCTTCTGCTGCGTGAGGGAGGAAGCAGGAGTGCCTTGTTTTGTTCCTACCTTAAGCTCTCTGAGCCCTCAGATACCATTTTTTCTTTAAATGTATTAATAACAGTTATTTTGTTTATTAGGAGTGGAACGCGCCAGGTGAATTGTAATCCATTTAGATCAGAAGTTACATGCTGCTGCGTTA